GGGGCGGGGGGGGGGGGCCGCCCCGTCCCCCTTATTTTAAGTGAAAAAAGAAGAAATGACTGAAAGAAGAAAAGCCGGCAGGGCAACTAAAACAAAACCGCCTCCCACCCCCACCCCCTTAGCTCAAAATCTGGATCCGCCACTGAGTTCTGTTCCCCGTAGAGAGTTTAGTTTTCAAGACAAGGAATAAATTTAAATATATACCCAGGACCTGAGCAACATTCAACTCACCGTGTTGTGAATCAAACGAGTGAGCTGATGTTCAAGGGTCTCTAAACGAACTTCATGATCAGCTGACAGGCTGACTCTTGCTGGTGGCTTCTTCTGCAAAGAACATCGACAAATTGAAATTACCAGCAGTTCATAACAAGAACTGAGCGGTGTGCCAATAGTAAGTTAAAGGTGGGCAAAGTCTGTGTTTTCAGTAGGAAAGCATTTGGTTTTCACAAGCAGGCAAAACATTTTAGTATCAACCAGGAGTATTTCTAGCCCAGTACATTATTTGCTGTTACCAATTTTAATATCTGGGTGGAGAGAGGCACTCTGAGAGTAAAGACTCTTGCCCAAGAATACAACACCATGACCTCAGTCAGAGCTTGAACCTAAGTTACTCATTCCAGAGTTAAGTACAATTAACTATTAGGTCACTATGCGGTGGTACAAGAAATAGAATAAATCCTTTCACTGTATCACTGCCAAAGGTATGACATTATAGTGCCAAAGTAGGGAATAAGGTCAACTCAGAATAACAGTCTGAAATCTAACAATAGATTATTCCATTCGACCAAAAATTCCAGTATGAATTTCCGGAAATTTTCTAGGGCGAATGGAACAGACTTTTTCGGTGGCTGCACCAGAGTGGAAAGCGCCCTCACACTTTTGTTCGCTTCAACTTTTTCAATGACTTCATGTCGAGGTTTAAATAGCAAATAGAGAAGCATACAGAGCACTGATACGTCGACACAGTGACTTTTTATAGCCCATGACAGCAGGGACCTTATACAAACCACAACGCAGCGAAAACGTCAAAAAACGAAGGATTTAATGAGTCGTACAATGGCTCTGCACAAGTTATAAGTCTTTGTACATTTCTTAGCTAACCTATCCAAAACAAACAAGTACACACAGGGGGCTTTATTTTTGTTGGAATTAAACGCTTTCTTGATGAATTTAAGTTAGCATTTATCGACCGACAAGTGGCGAGTAAAATATTAATCCATTTCGAATACACGTCGCCGTCATCTTTGTCTGGGATGATCGTGGTGATCGCGGCCAAAAGAACTAGCGCTGAATAAAAAATTGCGAGTTTACATAATTTCCCAAAAAGAGGACAACCTCTTGAGGTATAACCAAATTTTCGAAAACTTTTTCCTGGAAATTTCCGTTCCATTTAATTTTCATCCCGAAATTTCCTGAAATTTCGGTTGAATGGTTCGCTTTTCGGACAATTCAACAATTTCCGGATTTTCTAGAGCTTAACCTTGGAAATTTCCATACCATTTGACCCCGTTTCGAAAATTTCGGAATTTTTGGTCGAATGGTAAGCGCCCAAGGATATTGGTCAAGCTGATCGACAGAACTCATTTTTCCCCCGGCCTGTGAAAGGTGTGGTAGCCTCATGGTTAGTGTGCTCGTCACTGGATCGAGCAGTCTGGGTTCATGCCCTGGTCAGGAACATTGTGTTGTGTTCTTGGGCAGGACACTTTACTCTCACAGTGCCCCTCTCCACCCAGGTGTGTTAATGGGTAGCGGCGAACTTAATGCTGGGGGTAACCCTGTGATGGACTAGCATCCCATCCAAGGGGAGTGCAAACAATCCTAGTCGCTTCATGCTACCAAAACCGAAATAAGCTCTGGCCCGATGGGCACTTAGCTCGTATGCAGACTTTACCTTTTCATATTTCTCACTCTGGGTTTACTCTTGTCCTGATCTCATTAGAGTTACATGTATGTATGTGCAGTGGTGTGTACATGTAGTTTAGGCCATATAGCTCTAGCAGCATCAGCCAGATGGCAGAGCTGCATAATGTACTTGTCTCACATAATAATAGTTGAAGTTCTCCTTCAGTAGCATGTTGGGTGGTTAAAATAATAGACAATTCAACTGAGGCCTTGAGCAATTTTGTAATAATATTATTGCACGTTACCGTCCTCACATTTGAACAACTCATTGTCCTTATTATATATTCTAATAATTATTTGTGTCACCTACACCACTTTTTATATGATATCACACACAGTGGAATATTTTCATTACGTTCCCTGACAATACTGTAGATTAGTGAATAAAACTTAGAATAATTAATTCCATTCTTTAAAAATGAATACCAGTAGCTCAAGCACTTTTTCCGTGTTTACATAGCCTCATCTAAACACGAGGAGGGTTGGGAGAATTTAAGATAGTTATGCAAACACAAGACATAGTTGAGGGTTTGCATAACTTTCGAGAATTCTCCCAGCCCCCAAGTGTTTAGATGAGGCTATGTGAACACGGAAAAAATGCTCTATTGCTTTTATAAAACAATTCTCAAAAATACGCGCGAATCTAAAACGTCACAACAGTGTTTACATACTCTCATCTAAACACACCTATCGACCAATGAGAGCGCGCCTAGTAGCTCAGTTATTTTATAAAACTCAATAGAAACACAGAACTAGCACAAGCTGTTGACAGACGTAATTGTGACCCAAGCGAAGAGAATTTACACTTTGATAATCAAAGTTAACAAGTTGTTTTCCTTTTTTTAGTCACGGTGTTTTCTAAAAGAAATAGAAAACATGTTCTCCCTGTTTCTATCAAGTTATAGAAACACTCGTGAAAGTTTGGGAGAACTCGAAAAAGCTGTGGAAACACTCACCTGCGGCTCATGTTCCCACAGCATTTCTCGTTCTCCCAAACTTCCACTCGCGTTTCTATAACTCGATAGAAACATGGTACATGTTTTCTATTTCTTAAATAGTTATTGTATGACATGCTGCTAACAAGTTCCCAAATGCAAGTAAAGGTGCAAGTAAATGTACATGTAGACATGGCATCCTCTGCAAATAATAGAAGGTCCATACCACTGGGGGATCTTCTGTTATCCTCTCCTCTCCAGTGTCTGTTTCTGATGATAACAGTGGCCCTCGTTGTCTGAATCTGTCCAGCACTGAGTCAATTCTTGGAGTCATAACTTCATACTTGGAATCTTTCTGTATTAAAGAACAAAGGGATTGTACAATTATATTGTGTTTCGCATTTATTAAGTCTACATTGGATACCCACCTTATGCTAGAGAAACCAGAGTTACCAACTGTGGTAAAAGACCTTTAAAAAAGATCTTAAAAGATCTTTGAAGATCTGGGCACAGAAGGATATTTTGTGTATCTTGCAGAGTTCCCATTAACGCACAGGTGTTCATCTTATATGCACAAAAAATGAAAAGGATGCACAGTATATTGGTAAAGTACATCCTTGGGTGCAGGAAAAAGTTCCGAAAATTTTAGTAATAGGCAGAGGACCCCTGAATAGCAAAAAGAACCCCCAACTGTTTGGAACTGGGGTCCCAAGGACCCTTAACTATCAAAACAACTTGTTAGCAAGCCAAATGCACTGGCCCTTGTTGTTCAAAAATGGATTATGCTATCCACCAGAAAAATCGTTATCCTGTGATAAGTGTGGACAAAACAAAATACGCTATCTACTGGATAGTGATTTATCCAGTGGATAGTGCTATTCACCTTTCGAACAACATGGGCCTGATCAGTAAACTATATTTGTAACAGAAACCTACTTACCAAAGGGCTCTCAGTAGAACTTTCTGATTTAAGATACTCTACATAGTCCTCCATTTCTACAAATAAAAATAACAAAATTAGAGAGCTGCATTTACAACAAAACAGCTTAGCATAAAACAAAGGAAATTAGCAAAAATTCAACTTACATTGTACATAAGAAATTCAGTTTAGCCAGTCCTGTGTACAGAAAGTTGGCTGCTTATTGAGGCTTAAATTTCAAACAGTCAAACTAGTCTATGAGTCATACATATGAGTACACATGTATTGTGTTCTCATTTCCGTTATTGAGAGCTACAGTAATCATATATAGACTGACTTGACCCGAACAGGTTGACTGGAGTGCTATTCCACAAAACATCTGCAGCACTAAGGCCAAGGTGTCCAGGTGTGTGGATTGGTACTGAGCATACAGGACAACAAGGACAAAGAGAGAACAAAAAGATACAGGTAGATTTCTTGTATCTCTTACTAACCCTTCTGTGCCCCCTTACTGCCTTCTCTTATTTGACCAAAGAGATAACAGAGATGGATTGGGAAAAGAAACATGGTAATTTCAGAACATAGAATGGAGAGGAAAAAAAAACAGGATAATTTGTACCCATAAACACATTGTCCCTTGTTGCCCCTGGCTTTCCCGTCCGGTCAAGCCCATCTAACACTTCCAGTGTTTTCAACGCTGTGAGTACACCAGATCGGTAAGCTGATATCTCACACACAGGATTAGCTTCTCCATATTGAGACAGTGTAAGTTCTTTAAGCATTCTGCAGCCAATAAGACAACTGATTACATGATCCAGTGAGGTGAGCTGGTTTCCATGGAGATATAAGTTCCTCAAGTTAAAGACAGGTCCATGAAGTTTCTTCAACCCTGATAGATTATGAATTGCATTGTACGATAAGTCCAGCCTCATCAGATTCCTGCAATGACAGGAATTAAAATGCTTTTTAGGTGAAATGAAAATGTGAAATGAAGGGAAACTGAAACGTTTTTGACAGTGTTTAGGCTAACTGAAGTAAAATCAAAAAAAAAAAATCATAATATTAAGAGCGGAAGCCACATCAGCTCTATCTGGTTTTCATGCAGGTCCTTTATACTGATCAAATTGGAATTTAGAAATGTTGGTTTTTGAGGAGGAAGGGAAACCAGAGTACCCAGAGAAAAACCCTTGGAGCAAGGCGAGAACCAACCCACATATGACAGCAGACTGGAATCGAACCTGGGCCACAATGGTTTTCATACGGGTCCTCTGTGCTGATCGAATTGGAATTTAGAAATGTTGGTTTTTGAGGAGGAAGGGAAACCAGAGTACCCAGAAAAAAACCCTCGGAGCAAGGCGAGAACCAACCCACATATGACACCGGAATGGAATCAACCCTGTGCCACAATGGTGGGAGGCAAGCGCTCTCACCACTGCACCAATTTAGTGGCCAATATCATAAATGTAGCTTTGTAATGTTAGATAGAACCAGAGAGCTGTTACACAAAAATCTACACATAATGCCTCAATAAAATTTCTCTATGACGTCTGAGGAAAACCTAACTGCATATAAAATCTACTGAAGATTCAGTTGAATCTACTGAAGCTTATCTTCTTCTCCCGTCCCTTCTCAAAACAAACACAGGCAACAAGTACTACCTCAGGTTCTCAAGTCCTTCCACAACTTGTAATTCATTGCAGGATAAGTTAAGGGTCTTGAGGCTCTTCAGACCACCTAGTCCTTGAATTCTTGTGATGTGATTTGACGACAAATCAAGATACTTGAGGTGCTGAAGTCGGTCAAGGTTTTCTATAACAGAAATGTTGTTGCAGTGCAGATTTATAGAAATCAATCCTGGATCCAGATGAAAGTCAAACAGACTGTTTATCTGTGAATCTATAAAACAGATCTCCTTTGGAAAAGTAGTGGAAACCACATCATCACTTTCTGTTGCCATCGTTGTTTTGCTCATATATTCGCAGATTTTCAGTAGAGTTAAATATTTTTCTCATTATATCCAGCCATATAGATACCCTTTGATTATTCATCTCTATTAAGGTATATCTCCAAGAAATAACATGGCAAGTCTTGACTCAAAATTGTGTTAAACAAGAATCAGAGCAAATAAAAATATATTTTTTTTAAAATGGCGCCTAATGGTATCGTCCGCTGGCAAGAGTTTCCAACTGGGTGGTGTAACAGGCATAGAGTGTCATTGTACACGGCCAGTAACTTCTTTCTCAGGGTTTGTTCTAGTCAGTTAGCATTCTACAGTGAAACTCCGTTATCAATCTGATCACTAACGTGCCACAAACATTTGGCCGTGTTAACGTACGTAGTGACCGTATTAAAAGGATTCTTTAAATAAGAAAATGAATAACTGAGCTTTTGTTCGGGCCCGAAATGGGGGCGTAAACAACGAGGTACAGTAATTTCAAATGGTTAAAAGTAGGCCTTGGCGGATTGTGCTAGCATAATTTTTGGCATAATTGGAGCAAAAAAGCATAATTTTTTAAACGAGCACTGCCACGGTATAATTAGCAAATTTTAGCACTTTTTGGAGCATAAATTCGTAAAATTTTGTATTTTCTACATAAATAAGTTAAATTTAGGT